TTTACTTTTCAAATCACTACAAGCATTTCATTTAATATGTCTGGTTGTGTTGAACAAACGGGACCTCGATTGGATCTCTGGCTAGAAAATTAGAAGGAAAATTGTAAAACACAAGACTTCAAAGGCCCGTTAGGGGGCCAAAATTGCGAAATGACCACTGAAACCACTGAAAGTTGGCATGGACAGCTTGTTCAAGCCTAAATAGACTTGTAGGAACAAACGAGACCATGATTGGATCTCTGGTTAGAAAATTAGAAGGAAAATTGTAAAATACAAGACTTAAAAGGCCCGTTTGGGGGCCGAAATTACGAAATGACCACCGAAACCACCGAAACTTGGCACGGACAGCTTGTTCAAGCCTAAATAGACTTGTAGGAATAAACGGGACCTCGATTGGATCTCTGGTTAGAAAATTAGAAGAAAAATTGTAAAACACAAGACTTAAAAAGCCCGTTCGGGGGCCGAAATTGCGAAATGACCACCAGAACCACCAAAACTTGGCAGGGACGGCTTTTTCAAGCCTAAATAGACTTGTAGGAACAAACGGGACCTCAATTGGATCTCCGGTTAGAAAATTAGAAGGAAAATTGTAAAACACAAGACTTAAAAGACCCGTTCAAGGGCTGAAATTACGAAATGACCACCGAAACCACCGAAACTTGGCACAGACAGCTTGTTCAAGCCTAAATAGACTTATAGGAACAAACAAGACCTCGATTGGATTTCCGATTAAAAAATTAGAAGGAAAAATGTAAAACACAAGACTTAAAAGGCCCATTCGGGGGCCGAAATTTCAAAATGACCACCGAAACTTGGCACGAGCAGCCTTTTCAAGCCTAAATAGACTTGTAAGAACAAACGGGACCTCTATTTGATCTCTGGTTAGAAAATTAGAAGGAAAAATTGTAATACACAAGACTTAAAAGGCTCGTTCATGAGCCGAAATTTCGAAATGACAATCGAAACCACCAAAACTTGGCACGGATAGCCTTTTCAAGCCTAAATAGACTTGTAGGAGCAAACGGGACCTCTATTGGATCTCCGGTTAGAAAATTAGAAGGAAAATTGTAATACACAAGACTTAAAAGGCTCGTTCAGGAGCCAAAATTTCGAAATGACAACAGAAACCACCAAAACTTGGCATGGACAACTTGTTCAAACCTAACTAGACTTGTAGGAACAAACGGGACCTCGATTGGATTTCCGGTTAGAAAATTAGAAGAAAAAATGTAAAACACAAGAGTTAAAAGGCCCGTTCGGGGGCCGAAATTGCAAAATGACCACTGAAACCACCGAAACTTGGCACGAGCAGCTTGTTCAAGCCTAAATAGACTTGTATGAGCAAACAGCACCCGATTGGACTTCCCATTACAAAATTAAAATCAAAATTGTGAAGTTCATATCGAGGCTTTTTTTTTTTTTTTTTTTTTCAATTAATTTATCTTTTCTCCAAATTAATGCTAAAATATTAAAAATATATATAATATCAATATAGAAATATCATCTACCAGGCTAAGAGAGTACCTCTCAAATCACAAATCAAAGCAGGCCTCGATGAACGCAAATTTAGACGATCAATCTTATAGAAAAATTTACCATCTAAGATTCTAATTGAGAGGTTGACTCTTACAGACCTTTGTTATAATAATCATTTAAGATATGCAGGGCCTTTAATACAGTAATTCAGAGAATTGTAATTATGTTTATTGGGATTTTTCATAGTTATTAATTTTGAATTAGTATGAATGTCTTGCACAGGTGTATTATTATTTACATTACATTTGTGTATATATTGTGCACAGAAAAACAGGTGTTTTGGATTATTTTGAACAGGAAAATTATTGAAATCAAAATTTGTGCAGTGAATTTTTAGTGACAAGTGGTATTTTGGTCGCTGTTAATATATTTGGCGACAACATATTTTTTTTGTCGCTAAAAGTTAGTAGTTATTCCAAGAACTTTTAGCAACCAAAACTTACTCGTCGCTAAAAACGTGATTTTTAGCGACCAAATTAATTTTGTCGTTAAATAGTACTTTTGGCGACGCATTTATTTGTCGCTAAAACTACATATCCTATCCAAATTTTAACCTTTTAGCAACAAACTGTAATTTTATAGCGACAAAATATATGATTTTTGGCGGCCAGTTTTGCTTGTCGCTAAATGTCTACATACGGTGACAGTTTCTGATTTCGTCGCCAATACTTTTAGTGACATGCCTTTGGCGACCAATTGTATACCTGTCGCCGATTCTTTTGGTGACGAAATTTGTACTTTTGGCGACAAATTTTTGGGTCGCCAAATGTGTGTTTTTGTTGTAGTGACCATATTGTTTCATACACATCACATGTTAGGAATTCATAACAAGAACCTAACTATGATCAATGAGACACCAAAAAAAAAAAAAAAAAGAAAGAAAAAAAAGAAAAGAAAAACAAATTTACAAGAATTGTAAATCACATGCATACACACAAACACTAGATTTATGTGGTTTACCTCAAAACTGAAGTTGCGTCCACGGTCTCTGCAATTCCAATATGATCAGAAAAGGTTACACAAGAGATATAGAGATAACCCCCCCCCCCAACTACTCTCAGGGTCGGCCCTGAGTTTTCGGGGGCCTAAGGCGAAACAAAAACGAAGGCCTATATTCACAAAGAAAAAAAAAATAAAAATCACCCTGTTTCCTATCACTACCGGCAATTGATACCAAAATAGATATCAAAATGTATTCATACAAAAAAAAAAAGGTTACCAAAATTAGGAAAACTTTATTCAATTAAAATGTATTGGATATGTATTGAATTAATTGTTGTTTATTGAATATGTTGTGTATGAGTGTGGTTATTTATTGAATATGTTGTGTATGAATGTGATTGGGATTGGATTAATTGTTTATTTCACTAAAATCTGATAAACAAGAAAAGTAAAAAAAAAAAAAATTAGGGCAAATTTATTTATTTCACTAAAATTTAGTAAAGAAAGAAAATAAAAAAAACATAGAGGTCCTATTTGGGGCCACTAACATTTTGTATGTGTATGTAGTGTTTCTCATTCAAGAGTCACCAACATTTTCTATATATTTTAATTTCAATTGGGCCAAACCACACTTATAAACAAATATGGACTCAACAAAATATTTTTGGGTCCTTTAGATTGGTCCTAAAACAACAAAAATAATTTGGACCTATTTATATTTGTAATATATTATAATACTTTTCTAAGTTTGGTGCCCTATTTTGGGCTAATTTTTTAGGGGCCTAAGGCACAGGCCTCAATGGCCTTAGCCTAGGGCCAGTTCTCTGCTCTGTTCTCAACTCCATATCCATAGAAATAGGGCAACAAGTGCAAAAATAGTAAAAATATTTGCTCCAAATTTGGGATCCACCCTACTTCCAACGTATATTGTATGGCCTGAGTTGCTATACAAATAATTTAGTAACTGAGCAAAACAATATCTTCCCTAATTAAAGATAGAAATAACAGACCATTTGTATGTTAGTAAGAACTTAGTAAGTACAATGCAATGCAGGCATTAACAATCATATATTTTCCCAACAAGACACAAGTATAGATCATATCAATCAATCATCAAACATATCCAAATTGCAAATCATAATAAAGTTGTCCAACTAGTAAACAAAAGCCACCATCCCAATTTATCAAACAGAGATCCCCAATATAAACAAAACCATACCAAATCTCCACTAAACCCCAAAAAACAAAAAAATCCTAATTAGAAAGTTAAACCCATATTATTCCTAAGAGCAAATATTATTTTGCCCCCCAAACTTTCACTCGTTTTTCAATTTGACCCCTAAACTTCGATTAATATCAATTTTACACCCAAACCTTTGAAATTTTGATCAATTTGGCCCATGTCATTACATTCCGTCTACAATTGGAATTTCATTTTACCCTACAAATTAAAAATCAATTTGCTCTCCAAACTATACCTTAAAAATTAATTTGCCCCACACGTCAGCACATTCCGTCCAATTGTAGACAAAATGTGACGGGAAGGGCCAAATTGATCAAAATTTTAAAAGTTTAGGTATAAAATTGATATTAATCAAAGTGTAGGGCTCAAATTGAAAAACACGTGAAAGTTTGCGGGGCAAAATAATATTTTCTCTGCTCTTAATATGTCTAAAACCCAGCTGCATTCAAACACCTTCCAATCTCAAAAGAAAGAAAAGCATCAATACAAGCATACTAAACTTGTTCAGGGTAAAGCCACTCATTATCCCACCTACTCATTGTGATCCTCTTGGGCATTGTCCCACCTACTCATTGTGATCCTCTTGGGCTTCTTAATATCCTTCCCTAGAACCTCTCTCGCCAAGTTCTTCAACCCAGCATTCAGAAGCCTGATCATCCAGCAATCAGCTGCTAAGGAGCGAAGATCAACAGTGGTGGCCATAGACAACCCATAATCCTCAATCAACTTCTGGACATCGGCCATTACAACAATTTACACTTTTGGCGACCAAATTTGGCAACTAAAAGGGATTTAGTCGCCAAAAGTTCAATTTTTGGCGACTAAAAATTTATTTTGGTCGTTGTTGGTTCAAGTTTTTGCTACTAAATTATTTTAGTCAACATATATTACTTATTGGCGACTAAAAAAACATTAGTCGGTAAATTTTCCACAATAGGCGACTAAAAAAATTATTAGTCACCGTTACTCTAGTTTTTCAGCTAATAAATTTTATTTTAGTCATAGTATACTAATTTTTGCCGACTAAAATAAATTTAGTCGCTAAATAATTGCCACATTTGCACTGTTACTCTTTGGCGACTAAGAATTTGGTCAGCAAATATGCAGTTTTGGGCGACTAAAAAATGTTTAGTTGCGGTATACTCAATTTTTTCCGACAAAAGAATAATTAGTCGCCAAATAGTGAACTTATGGCGACCAAAAAAGTTTTGTCGCTACAAAGTGGGAAAATATTTTACGCGCCTAGTTTTTTTTTTTAAACAGATACGCGCCCAGATTTAGGCGCCCATATATTTACATCCCTTTCCTGTCTCTCTCTCACACAAAGAACCTCACCTCTTCTCATTTCACCGAAGTCCCTCACCACCGTTGCTGACGTTTGTCGCGCATCGCCACTACAGCAAATCACCACCGCCGCCGCCCCAATACGAACAGGTTCTTTATCTTTCTCCCCTCTCTCTCTTGATCTCTCTCTCTCACTCACTCTCTGTCTGTCTCTCTCTCTCCCTTCCTCTATTTCCCTATTTCTCACTCTTGCTCTAGGGTTTTACATGATTTACCAAGTCTAATTTGTTGTTGATTTCTGAAATGGGTTTGGTTTAAGTGGTTTGGGTAATAATGAATTTGTTTGCCTGATTTTGGGGCTATTTTTTATGACTGAACCCTTATTGTTGTTTATTAGGTAGACAAATACAAGAAATTGGTTTTCATTTGCATATGGATGGGGTTTACCATTACTGGTGCCTACCCCCCAGCCTCTCTTTTTCCACTGCTTTCCATTTTTTGCCCATCCTTTTTGTGAACATTTTGTGCAATCCAATTCTTAATTTCATTATCCTATGGTTGCTTGATTGAGAATTCTCTTGGCTCTCTATGTCTGAGTTTGGTTTGTTTCCCATGAATTTGTTCTTCCTGTTATATCTTTCGCCCTCCAACTGTTTGATGCAATGCCCGAATCAAAAATTTACTTGCTGGGTTAATTAGAATATCAATCTTTTCTTAATGATGGGTTTCCCTTGCCGAAGGCCCATAAAAAGGTTGTGCAATAATCAGGCATTCATTTACATTGATAGTAACATTTTACTCCATGTCTGGAGCTAGCTTACAGAGGCAAATTACCAATTCTTTATGAAGCATCTGTGTCTTTAGATTTCAAAATGCTCATTTTATCAACAACTGTTTTCTTCCTTCTGTACCACGAAATCAAGACCAGCCTTGTACCAGTTGTCTTCAATATAATAAACATTCATAGAGTTAGAAAACACTAACTGCAGCAAAACATCAACAAAGTTATGCAAATAGTGACACATTTGAGAGCAACAACTAACATTCATTTGTCCTCTCCTTGGGTGCCCTTTAATTGTCAATTCCTTCAAGGCACAAGACCAGACAAAAGTACTTGAGAATTAAATGTCATCCAAGCTAGTCTCAGCTCTTTAGTCACTAGAAAAACAACTATAGTCTTCAAACTTTATGCAAAGCACTTGTTTGAATCTCCAACAAATCAAAAATAATTGAGGACTTGCATTCAATCTATGCCTCAATGTAGTAGACTGAACTCTCTGTATCTAAATAAAGCTGAGATTTTCCCCTAAAAGCTGTGTAATTCTCATGTATCCTCCACTTCCTTTTTTATGGGAGGAAGATACTATTACTGGTATTTTTCATTATTGTTGTTGTTATTCATATATATATATATACGTTAGTGTTTGTTTTGATGTAAGTTGATGTAATCTCATGTATCCTCCACTTCCTTTTTTTGTACTTAGTAAATTTTTGAAAGAATTTTTAACATTTTTTTTAAACTTTTAAAGTGTATCTAAATAAAAATTAAAAGAATTTGATTAAAACATTTTAAAAAAAAAATACTAAAATCCAAAAAAATAGGAGTTCAAAATTATTTTTGAAAACTCCAAAACCAAACAAAGTCTTCTTGTTTCTCCATTCTTCTACAATTGTGTGCGTATGAGATGGTGGGTTGCTTTGCTTGTATCATATGAAAAGCTGCTCAGCTTGGAGATGGATCAACAATGGGAATGTCACATTATTAAAGGGTCCCAACAAAAAATAAATAAAAGATAAAAACAAACAAAAATAAACCCTTCCCTATTGGTTGGCTTTGATGTTATGTGATATTTGAATTGCTTTTGGCATTATGAACGTTTATTTTTGAATGTATAATATAGATATGCTTTCCCACTGGACCTATATATATGTTGTTCATTATTAATCCTTCGTTTAGTTATTGAATTTCTGTCATGATCTTCAATGGATTCTGATGCTATTAGTTTCATAAATACAATGAAATCTTTGTTTCATAATCAATGATGATGAAATACTTATCTTAATAAATTTATATTTTAGATTAAAAAATGGAATAGGATAAGATTTAATTATAGATTATTAAAAAATGGATTCTGATTCTTTTTGCTTCATGTCTCTTCATAGTTGTGTGTATTAGCTGTTTCCATCAATATTCTAGCAGACATATGATAAATTGACGAACTGAACATTTTTTCACACCTTGCACTCACTGAGGACAAGTCTGTGTCTTTGGCTTAGCATGGCTCTTTCTGAGATGTTCTCATTATGTATCTTCTTGTCTTCAAATTATTCAGGGGACCAAGCAAATGAATGAGAGGACTCACATGCTACTACTACCCCTATGCCCTATGGTGATAAGGTTCCCCAACAAAGACAGCTTGCTTGGGCCAGAAATTGAGCCAGCTGATGCCATGAGCAGGGCAAGTGGCTTGGATAACTACGGCATTGTTGGTCTTCAAAGACAAATAATGGAAGGCAAGTTGTTGTAACTTCTTTAGAATCATTTTTTAAAAATATTTTGTTTGGCTTCTATATCATGGATTCTTATGCCTTGGAAGCAGAACAAGATGACGGCTTTGAGAAATTGCAGGAGACGGTGATAAGCACGAAACATATTGTTTTCTTTCTTTAATTCTTGAAAGTAAATATTTACATCAATTTTCCAAAGAAGCATATTCGCATCTCACCTTAATAAGAGAAACAGGTGTGAAAGGGTTGTTTGAGATGGCATAGCATAAGTCAGTTGAAGCCCTGTTTTTTCTTATTCAAGAGTGCTCTGTTTTTGCCTTTTGTTTTTTTGTTTTGGTTTTTTTTTTGTTTTTTTTTCTTGGTTTAAGTGGAGTTAGGGTGTTCGATGATTGGTGTTCTGAAGATATTCTACTTTGGAAATTATTTGGTGCATCCAGGTGGAAGGAATTGGATGTACGCCGTCTGACAGAAATCCCAAGTCATGTACTCATTTTTTTTTCCTCTCTATTTTTTCTTTTTTGCTTAATATTTTTCTGCTCCAGTACTGTTCAATCTCCTTTAGTTACGAAACCAAAAACCAATCTTTTAAATTTCATTGACTCATGAACCATAATCTTACATCCCTTTTGATCTGTCAAACCATCACTTCCTAGTTGCAGGCTTTAAAATTATAGTGGGGTTCTGCATCATTTGGCTTTTTATTTCCAGTGTGAATGTTGACTTGTGCTGCACTTGAATGCTCGTCACGGATTTCATCTTTATGCTTTCACTAGCCTCGCGATTGCACAGCTCTTCTTCATTCTCTTGAAACTTCTATGTAAAAATTGGGTATTGAATGCCATCTTCTCATATTTATTTGAGCAGTGCAATATGACAATTTTATCATCTATGATATTGCTGTAGCCTGTTCTAGGCTTTACGCTTTGCCAAATTTTCCTTCCAGCATGCTGCTAGGTATCTTGCTAACCAGGAGTGGGTTAAAAGTGATTCTCTCAAGATTGTAGAAAATACTGCAGTAATGCCTCTTTCTTTCTGTTTATTTTCGTTATATTTTATCTTCAGACATCTTTTCTGCTGATGTGTCATCTCATCTTGCTGCCTTTCTGCTTGTAGGTTCCCATCATCATGCTTCTTGTTGAAGTTCCTCATGATCTGATTACCCCTGCTGTTTCCACCATATCTACACTGAAAGAAGAACCGACTGAGGTGATTAGTGGAGACAATCCTTTTCAGACCAATATGGCTAATTTGGAAAGCTCTGCTTCACCAAAGTGTTCAAATATGAATACTGATGATGGCAAGGATATGAAATCAATTCTCTTGACATCAGTTTCTTGTCGCCATCACACACAGGACTCCAAACTACTGAACTGGTTCGATTAAAACTTTTCCCTCTTTCTATTTTGCAAAGTCAAATCTTGTTACCTGACATTCTTCTCATGCATATCGAAGGCCATATAAATAAGGTTTTGCAGTGTTTTGACCTGGTTGCTGCCACTGTTTGCAAAAATTATAATGAAACTGAATAATTTTGGAAGGAGACGAATATAAGAATGGTTGAGAATGTTCTAATTTCAGTTTTCATATTTGGAAGGCATATGGGATGGAATTTCTTTTATTGAATCTTTATATTCTCTGAAATTTATATTTAAAGCTTTGGAAGCTTTGTGTATTCTTCACCAGTGCATGGGTCCCTTTCATGTTTCATAGAATTTTCCCTGCCTAATATCTATTATTATCTCGAGAGTTAATTCTTCCTATTTTCTGAAGAAGTATTCTTAATAACGATTTGATTTGATTTGCTTTTATTTCACTAATTTTTCTTTATGCTTTAAATTTTATATTCAGGTTAAAGAGTTGACTGAACGATTCCCCGCTGCTACACCCCTTGCTTTGGTACTAAAACAGTTCTTGGCAGATCGTAGCCTGGACCAATCTTATTCAGGTGGCTTAAGTTCATATTGTCTGGTGAGTTGTGATGTATAGTTTATTCAGGTGTTGTGATGTTTAATTTTTCAGGAAAAAAAAATCTGATATTTATGATTATATCCATTGTCCAAGAGTTTGATACTGGTAAATAGATGCACCCTATTTTCAAAGCTTTTTCTTTTGTATAATATCTTGAATATTATCATGTAACTTTTTTGACCTTTTTGTAAACTTAGTGGACAACTACTAACCCAATCTTACTATTTTATCTCCTTTTACAGGTGTTACTCATCACACGTTTTCTTCAGCATGAGCATCACCATGGACGGCCTGATAAGCACGAATATGATTCTTATGGATTCTTATTTTTTTTGATATATACGGTTAATAGTTAAGTATTGTATATGATTGAAAATTGAATACTATAGGTTGTAGAGAAATAATTTTATTGAATGGTTGAGAATTGAATGAATGAATGATTGAATAATTTTGTATATGTACAAGTTACACGTGGCATTAAAAATATTGCAGAACAAATTATAAAAGCTAAATAAGACCTTTTGGTGATTAAACAAATATCACAGGTTGGCTTTTGACTACTAAAATTTTAGTCGCCAATTATCAAAAAGTGAAATTTTTGACTACTAAATTTTTAGTCGTCAATTCTCAAAAAATGAAACTTTTGGTTATCAAATAGTTAGTCGCCAAACATACGTGCTCAAATTGGCTACTAAATAATTTAGTCATTAAAAGTAAAAAATATATATATTTAATTATATATGGTGACTAAAGTTTTAGTCGCTAATAGGTTATTTTTGGTTACCAAAAAAATTTTAGTCGCCGATTGTTTTCCCGACAAACTGTTGGCGACCAAACGGGCGACCAAATATATTAGTTGCCAAAAGTAATTGGCGACTAAAAACAAGGTTTTTGGCGACTAAAATTTTTGTCGCCAAAAATGAAATTTCTTATAGTGGGTGTGAATACCCACACCCACAAAAGTGTAGATAGGGTTGTTCAGGAAGTCGAAGAGGGATTGGGGGATGTGAGGGGAGTAGATGAGTTGGAAGATGAGGCATCGGCGGCCGACGCAGAGTTGAAGAGTGGCGGTGGTGTTATCGTGGAAACAATTGTTGGGTCGTCACTCGATGTCGAGGCTGACAATGAGGCGATGGAGTTAGGGACAATGGATGGCTGTGATTCGAAGATTTAGGAGTCTACGAGTGACGAGTGATGTTCCCCAAAAATTCATATGGTACAAACAAAATTACATAATTTCAAATAAATGCATAATAAAACACATATGATACAAACTCCATTTGAATCTTTAAATGATGTTCAAAGTGCGTATATTTTTCTGGTGGTGCTACATGTATTAATTGGATATTAATTATTGTACTAACATATGTTATGACATTGCTACTTCAACACTATGACCTCACCCGTTATACAAACTACATATACTCAAAATCTCTAAAATTATGTTACATTATCTATTAGTATAATAATTAGTATACCAATTAGTGCATATAGAATTATTCATATTGTTTTTATCCCAAAAAAAGAGTGTATTTATGAATTAGGATAAATTGGATATCAAAAAAAAATTTAAGACAAATTACAAACACACCTTTTAATGTTTGTTTAGAATATAAATTGCCTTTTATGATTTTGAAAATTACATCAAGCCCTTTCAAGTTTTTAGTTGTATAACAAATGACTCATACCATTAATAAACTATCAAGTAAATTAACAATTTTTATTAATGTTAAAAATATATTTTAATTAATAATTCAAGTAATTTTATTATTGTATAAGAAACTAGTTAAATTTTTTTTATTAATTTTGTCAAATAAATTTTTTTAATAAAGGAGTATTGGTAATATTTGGGGAGAAAATTGATTTCTCCCAAATATAAAAAAAAAAATTAATTTTTTCATTATTGAGATAAAAAATTTATTAAATATTTAAATTTAATTTCTTTATATTTGGGAGGCAAATTAATTTTTAAGATATAGTTTGGGGGGTAAAGTGAAATTCCAAATGAATTTTGGGGTCACGTCAGTATATTCTGTCTAATTGTAGATGGAATCTGACCACAAGGGCCAAATTGATCAAAATTTCAAAATTTTGGATGCAAAATTGATATTAAACGAAATTTGGAGGTCAAATTGAAAACACATGAAAGTTTGGGAGGCAAAATAATATTTCCTCCCATAGGTGTCCATACTGAACATTAGTGTTAGGCTTTGAGTTTTTACTTCCTGTTTTTTTTAAAAAAAATTATTCAGTAGGTCTGATCTACCACATTATTATATTGGTGTTGTGTCTCAAACTAATGAGATTTTAAAGAAAATGGTAGTAATTTTTTGAACTAATAACACATTGACAAAGTTCTTAAAATTCCCCCTCTTTTTATTGTGATTTTTTTCTTTCATGTATTGTTCTCATTAGTTAGACATAGAAAACTATGTGGTAGCTCGAAATTGGAGGGGGCTCGAATGCCCTGACTCCTAGTAGTGCCACAACGACGTCGTTTTGGCACTCTTTTTTTTCCCCCTTTCTTCCTCGAAACTGGTTTGAGAGAAATAGAGAGGCGAGAGAAAGAGAGAAGAAGGAAGAGAGGAGAAGAAAAAAGAGAGAGGGGGAACAGAAGCTTGATCTTCAGCCGAACTGCAACACAACCCACTGTCATGGACGGAGAGGCTGAAGCTTGATTTTCGACTGTGACTGTTTTGATTTTGATTTTAATTCTGTGGGTTTGGTTTTGTATTTTGATTTTGTTGTGATTTTGATTTTAATTTTGATTTTGATTCTGTGGGTTTGGTTTTGATTTTGGATTTTGATTTTGATTTTGATTTTGTGTTTTGATTTTGAACAGAGAAAGAAGAGGAAGGAAAAATAGAGGGGGAAGGAAGAAGGGGGAGAAGGGAGTGGGAAGGAAAAAGAAAAAAAAAAAAAGATTTTGATTATGAGTTTAGAGCTACTGGAAAGAACAGAGGGAGAAGAGGAAGGAAAAAGAGAGAGGGAAGGAAGAAGAGGACAAAGAGAAGGGAAAGGCAAAAGGAAAAGGAAAATATATATATAACTGTCAAAACGACGTCGTTTTGGCACTTCAAGCCATTTGGGCCAGGGAAAATTCGAGCTACCCAGTAGCTTTGTTAGACATATTGCTGACGTGATATACTCAACTCATGGAATAACATTTCATGTGTTCTTCCTGCTTTTCTTTTTGTAATTTTTTTATTAAATAAATAAAATGTTATCTTTTGTCAAATTTTTTTAATTTATACAAAAAAAAAATTAAAGATTTATTTTCTTTTGTTTTACTTTTTGCACGTTTTTAAATAAAACATTAAAAATTCTTTTCAAACATATGGATTTTTTTCATCTTGTATTTTATTAAAAATATTACTAAAATAGTCGCTTTCCAAACACGAGTATTTGAGATTTATTTTTTTAGTAAATTTTTTGTTAGCTTATTTTTATTGTATATTAAAAAAAAAATCAAAAAGTTTACATTTCTATATTATACTCAATGAGACGAACCGAAAAATTTAAAAAAAATCAAAAAATCTAGAAAAAGACAAAAATAAGAAAAAAATAGTATTTTTTGACTTATTTTGATCTTTAAATTTTTTCTTTTCAGAATTTTTCAAAAAGATTACTTTTTAGATTTATTTACACAAGACCAACAACACAAAAGTAAAAAATTTGAACATAATTTTTTTAGAAAGTCAATAATTTTTTTTTATAAAAAAAATAGGACTTATTTAGAAATTTTTAAAAGAGTATATGAGATAGATATCTACTAGTAATAGTATTTTTTTTTTTAAATTACAATTAAAAATTGATAAGAGCATAATTTAATTGTAAAGAGGTGGGAATCATTATTCATTGAGAAAGCAAAACAGAAAATGAAAGATTCATAAATTTGTATAAATATTTAAAAAAAAAATATATGAAATATAATTGTAATTTATATATATATTTTCAAATTCCTCCCTAAATATATAAACCAAATACAATCTCAAGGGTTATAATTGAAAAAAAAAAAAGAAAAGAAAAGAAAAAAAGCTACACCCGAACGCATTTCGTTGTCTGTGGGTCACAAAATCGTTCGTCTCTCTCTCTTTCTCTCTCTCGCACATCTCTTCCTCATCAGCTCCGTTCCCACTCTGATCGGTTTAAAGATCCCAGCAAAATTTCAAGGTATGTGTCTCTATTCTTATTTCTCAAACCATTCGTACGACTTAGTTTTTGTTTAGCCACTCTAGGGTTTTTGGCCAAACTTGGTAACGATTTTATACTATTTTTCTCTGTATATTTTTTAGTTCTAGGGTTACCCAATATTGTTTTGTAAATTTTGTCATATTATTTTGGCATTAATTATAGTGCTAATTATATTGTTCGAATTTTGATTGTAGATAACATGCTTGTAAAAATGATTTAGTTTGTTAGCAATTTAAACATCTATTTCTATAATCTGTACTATTACTAATAAATGAACAAAATTGAATTTTAAATCATCCATCAGCTAAATAAAATTTTAATTTCTTTCACGTAATTAACATATTGCTAAATTTATTAAATAACTTTGAAATGATAAAAGTCCACAGCAACACTGAAGGAGTAACAAGGTACAACAATGTTCACCCCAACCTCTGTATGGTCCCTGCTAATCAAAAGCATTAACAGATAACATTTAGCTTCAGAAAACCCTAATTTTTGTGAATAACCCATCTGAAGCCCCAAAACACAAATTTGTACATTGTCCCCTCTTTTAAAAATCCGAGCACCCTAATGGCAATCCTGAATTGTGATTCCCGTGGTGATGTGGTGTGGGGAAAGTACATAGAGGAGGAAGATCTTCAATTGAATGTTACAAAGCTGAGATTTAGTTTGAAGTACTTAAGGAGTTTCTGAACTGAAGAGAGGTGCATAGAGGGGAGACAATCTGTAAAACCATTGAGCTACCTCTAGAACCATTGATCCGGTGAGAGTTCGACGGTTTTTGTGGTTACATCTGCGTTGGTGGTTATGGAGGGATGTGATAGTGGCTAGTTCAAGAGACAGTTGGAAGCTCGTAGGTTGAGGTGGCTATTGTTAGTTAATACCTGAAACACAAACATAAAATAAAATAGAGCGAGACAAATTGACCAAAGAAGAGACCTAACAAAAAAGGTTCTCTCTTTAGAGTTGAGAGTTTCTCTTTCTAGAGATTTTTTTATGGCTTTTCACAGCCATGGAAAGGAGGCTGTTATACAATCCTATCTTATCCTCTGAGAACCCTGATGCCTCTCCCTGGGCTATACTAGTTTTTTGTTTTTTTAGGGAGATTTGTGTTTTTGAGATATCTCCTCTATGCTATCGAGCTATGAAGTACTGACACGTCCCCAGGCCCTGCGTACAAGTGTCGGACACGTGTCGGGCACAGACATGTGGTGGACACGTGTCCGACACTCTCTCCAACGTGTCCTCTTTTTTTTTTTTTTGAATTTTTGTAGTCGAAGATGCCATGGACACGCTGTGACACTTTCCGGACACGCCTGAGGTGGATTGAAGCCCTAACTGAAAGAGAGAAAGAGATCGAGGGAGAAGAGGAGACAGAGAAAGAGATCAAGGGAGGAGAGAAGACAGAGATCGATGGAGGAGATGAGAGGAGACAGACAGAGACAGAGAAAGAGATAGAGGGAGGAGAAGAGAGGAGCCTAACCTGTTCAGATCAGTGAAGAAGCTGAGGTATTTGTCTGCTCTCTTCTTCTTCGCCTTGTCCTCTTCGTTTTCTGTCTCTATCTTCTTCTCCTCCCTCTTCTTCGACTTCTCCTGCTCTCTCTCTCTGATTTCACTTCCCCCTTTTGCTGATTCACTTTCCCCTCTTTTTTTATTTCACTCGTTTCTCTCTCTCTCCTATTTTATTTCCTTCACTCTTTTTTTTTTCTTTTTTTTATCTTTATTTTTGTTAAACCTAAAATTCATAAAATAAATTATTTTTATTTAAAAACACTCATTTTTTATTAAATTTTTTTAAAAAATATGTTTATTAATTTTATTATTATTGTAATTGTATAAAAATTAATGATTTTTTTTTTATTTTAGACATATAATAAATAAAAAAAAAGTTATATATATTAAACGTGTTCCTAACGTGTCGTGTCCCCTATTTTTTTAAAATTTGCGTATCCCCGTGTCCGTGTCGTGTCCCTTGTCCGTGTCCGTGTCCGTGTCCGTGCTTCATATCTATAGAGTCTAATCTCTTGGATTATCTCTTCTTTTGCTTCAAGATTTGCTTCTACATGGTGGATGGGGTGTTTGATGGTGTTCTCCACTTTTTGTGTGCGAGCTTTCATGGTGAGAACTAAGAAGCCACGTTGGTTATCCAGATTTGTTATGAAAAATTTTCCTTCCCTTTCTAGATTCTTGTTTGTGTATGCATAAGATCTTTCTAGTGGTTTTTGTTGATGGGTAAATTTCTATGTGTTTTTCTGGAAATCCTTGATTTTCCATTAAGAGTGCTATCAAAAAGCCTTGGAGTTTGTGGGTTCCCATGAGATGTTTATAAATGTTGGAGATGGTATTTTTATTCCAGCACAGTCAGAGTTTTGGCTAACCGATCTTCATGTATGTTTGCTGCTGCTGCTGAATTGCTGAAGAGCTACAAAAAAATGGCACTTTTGGCGACTAAATTTTTAGTTGCCAAAGGTCAAGTTTTAGTCGCCGAAGGTTTTTAGCAACTAAATATTTTGGTCGCTAGATTGGTCGTTGACTAATTGTCGAGAAAGGTATTGGCGACTAAATGTTTTTTGGTCGCCAAAAGTCATAAATTGGTGACTAAATATTTAATCGCCAAAAGTTTTGAAATAAAATTAATTTTAGTTTTCGGCGACTGAAACTTTTAGTCATGGATAAGATTAGTTACAATATTACTACATTTAGGGACCAAAGAATTTAGTCGCCAAAATTTTTTATTTTATTTTATTTTATTTCTACTAACTATTTAGTCGCCCAAAGTCTCATTTATTTTTAGCTACTAAATATTTAGTTGCCAAAAAAATTATTTTTCATCTTATTTTTTTAGCTACGAAACTATTTAGTAGCCTAAAATCTCATTTTTCGGCTACCAAATATTTAATCGCCAAAAGAAATTATTTTAATCTTATTTTTTTTAGCTACTAAACTATTTAGTCGTCTAAAGTCTCATATTTTTGGCTACTAAATTTTTAGTCGCCGAAAATCTTTGGTTTATTTCTGGCTACCAATTATTTAGTCGCTAAAAATATTGATTTCCTTTTTGGCTACCACTTGGTTAGTCGCCAAGAAGTTGTGATTTTTTTTTTTTTTTTTAGCTACTAATCGTTTAGTCGTCAAAAACTTTATTTAGTGTTTTTTTTTATTATTATTAATTTCTCCACAACTTGTATTTATTTCGTGCAACTTGCAACTTATATATAAACAAAACCATATATATAAACTCTATTTCACTTTCAACCATCCAAAAATTTGGTCATTTAACGTCAAATTCCATACAAGCAGGGAATCATACAAAAACCATGTCCTCCGTACACAAAAATGAAATATCCACTAGTAATCTATACCATGCCATATGTTTCATGCCAAAAGTAATCTCCACCTCGGATCTAAAGCCTTTGCATCTCCACATCTCGTTGTGCTGCAGCATTTGATCCATAATCGGAGGAAGATAGTTTTGGATTGACCCCAAATCCTCTTAAATATCCCTTCTTCCCAAGCACCTATCTTGATATTTCCTCTTGCGTCATCGGTGTTCCATACTGGGAAGACTCGTCCCACACCCTCACCTAAAATCTCCCTGCCATTGACAAATATAAATATACTAGTGAGATAAAATTACAAAATACTCCAACAAAGATTCAAAGACTTCTCAAAGTCATCATATAAAAGGAACACAACTCACCAGAAGAGCAATTTAAATATATGTTCCAAGGGGTTGACATTCTTGGTAAGAAATCATCGTGGAAACATTAAGTTGAGGTAGCATGTTGGTACACTATTGGAGCAACTAAATAAAATTTTATGGATGACATGCGGGTTCCAAAAATTTTTTAGAGAATGAATTCAATAGAGAGGTCGTTGCTGCAATGTTGAATTTAGAATAGCAAAGACTTAAGAGTAACATAGACCATTTGACATACCATGAACCAAACAGTTCGTTTAAGAACCTTGTCAAACTACTACTGCTGCTCATAACAGTATACAGAGCACCTAGCAGCTACAAGAACTCAACAATGACTCTTTAAGTGTTTAATGTGCCACTTTTTAGTACCAAAATTGGACTGCAAATGCACTAAATTAATAAGCCTCCATCAAACTTGACTTGATTATGAAACAAGCCACATATCAAAACAACGCGCAATTTTTGTCTCAATTTTTGGTGAAATTTGAAATTCCTGATAAGTACTCTATTCATTACCTTGCCACCCAAGAGCCTTCTAAGTCATGCCTAGTTGATACAAGTTCTTCAGACTGATACAAGTGATTATTGCTGGGGTGCTACTTCTCTAAGAAAATAATTATGGTAAAAGTATCTTTGTCAATCCAAAAGTGGTGTTGACCTACAGAAAATCATCATCTTTGATCTTTTGCAACAGGTTATGGTCATCCACATAATTGTTGCAAATGGTCCATCACGCTGATCCAACCAGCAGCATCATGCATGGCGATGGATCCCTGAGGTTGGCTTGGAACTGCAAAAGACAACAGCAACTGAGTAATCAAAGACAAGCATATCTAGATTCTAACGAATTATTTAACAAGTTCAATTTACTATGATGAGACTAACTTTTTTGAAATTTTGGGAAGCAAAGCTTTGATCCGATTAGATCTTTCTACATTGATGCAAGTTAGGATGTAACAGAGCATAGAGTATATTGAAATCTACACAGATGGTAACTACATTAGTATGCAGAACAATATGGAAATTTACAATTGCCAAAAAATAAAAAAGTTCAAAAACTTGTAAGTCACAAAAACTCCAGTAATGTTCAAATAGGTGCAAAGGTTTGCTGCATTTTCTTTGTTTCTTGTACTCATGCAAGTTGGAGAACAGTAGACTGAGGTCTGCCTAGATGGGATTATGCAGCACGTAGAACCAAAGTACTATTAATAAATAAAATCAACATTAATAATTTGGAAATTCACCAAAGTACTTAAATATTGATTGAACTGAGCATATGTTCACTGCATATGAAGATCAAAAGATTAGAATCATCATGTTACATGCACTAATGGGAAATTGTTAAATAGGTATGAAGCGAGAAGAGAAACTTGATGCAAACATAGCAGGCTTCCTAGTTAACTTGCTCCAAGCAAATTGAATATGTCAATTCATATGCCGAAGCCTTCTCATCTGTATCTTATTTTCTTGAGTCTTGAATTGCCTACGAGCCAAATTTGAAGTCAGAAATTATAAACCATCCTGAAAGAGTATATACAACGATGCCCATTTCAAAAATATATATTGGCAACAGAGCAGTGAGGAAAACATCCAAAGAAGCACATGCGCGCGCGCGCACAGACACAAACACACTTTAGGATAGCTGACAACTAAGAATCCAATGTATGGAAAGCAATGAGCTTATTAAAGAACGATGTAAGAATCTCACAAGAAATTTATACAACTTTTAATGCCAACGTTCAGATATTGTAACTTTTATAAAAATCGTCCATCATTGGGATGGTCAGACATGAATCATAATCATCATGTGACACCCATGGCCATACCATTAATGCCTTTTTTTGGAGCATTTTTTGCATGTTTCTCGTCATGAAAAAAAAATAAATTAAACCACGCTACCAAGTCAAAGAGTGGAGGTGTGCCATGTAAGCTGACTGATGGTCCAAGTGGGCCCACTTTGAGATGGAGACGAAACTGATCGCAGTTTATATTAATGACAAAAGACTACATAATCCAGCCAAGAGCACTCTTAAATTAGAAGTCCGTGACATAAATGAAGGGTACCTAAATTGGAATACAGCAACCATGAGATTATGTAACAAAGAAAAACAGAAAACTATTTTAAAATTACAATTTCCTATATACAATGACATCAATAGGAGGCATTATTAGTTTGTATACCAAATACTATATTTTACTTTATAAGAGTTCAGTTGCTATCTGCAAGCCATAGGGAATATTATATATCTTCGGAAAAAAAAGAGAACATTTATTTGATACTTTACTTGGAATCCATTATAGAATTAGGTAGCTATTGTACTCAAGAAAAGTTCACATATAAAACAATTGCTAATAGATGGATGAAAAACTGTCCACGGGACCCATTAAAAATTACCTCCAAGGTAAACAGTCCAGATTGACCAATACAGCTCTAGAAACAGCAAACAACACCTTAGCAAGATAGGCCGAGGTGCAATAATATTCCACAGGAGGAACAAGGATGGGTAAGAACACGTTTTCCTCAATAAGTGGGTAAGAACATGTTTTCATGCATTAATGACCAACAACAGAGGTTCTGAGGAGGTTACATGGTAGGATGTGACAGACATGGATCCTAAAAACGAATGCTGCCACCAGGTGGCATATATGGGTGACCCAATTTGGCCTCAATTTGCTTCAAATTATGGTTCAATGAAAACCCTAATTAACTTATATATCAGCAATTACTAGACCAATGCCATGAGTAGAAGAAATCGTTCAAGCATACAGACAGAATTTCCAAAAACAAAATTGAACTACGGAAAACCCACATTGTACAACCAAAATCCAAATCAAAATGTACTGAATTTGGAAATTTGAATGGGAGGAGTTACTGGCATATGTGAAAACCCAAAGGCTAGAACTTAGAATTTGAATAGAAAAAGAATGCTAAGTCAGTGGAGAGGGAGAGAGAGAGAGAGAGAGAGAGAGAGATCACAATTCACAAATCAACACGAAATTAAATTCAATATATCATATAAAACCCTAGAGCAAGAGAAATGGGGAAATAGAGGAAGGGAGAGAAATTAAACTCAATAAATTATATAAAACTAAAAAAAAATATATATATATATATATATATATAGAGAGAGAGAGAGAGAGAGAGAGAGAGAGAGAGAGAGAGAGAGAGAGAGAGAGAGAGGGAACAAAGAGAAAGAACCTGTTTATATTGCGGCGCTGGTGATTTGCGACATTCGTGAGCGACTGCGGTGAGGTGAGGTTTTGTGGTGACTGATTCCGTGTGTGTGTGCGTGTGTGAGTGAGAGAGAGAGAGAGAGAGAGAGAGAGAGAAGAACTGTTTGCATTCCTAAACAGAAGGATGTAAAATTTGGGTGCCAATCTCATTAATATTTTCCCACTAAAATTTTATAAACCTTTTAGTGACTGAAATGTTTTTTAGTCGCCATAAGTTGGATTATTTGGTGACTAATTATTTTTTAGTCACCAAAATTGCATATTTGTTGACTAAAGTTTTTGTCGTCAAAGAGTCACAGTAAAATTATGGCTATTATTTGGCGATTAAATTTATTTCAGTTGGCAAAAATTAGTATACTATGACTAAAACAAACTTTAGTAACCTAAAAACTAGACTAGCGGCGACCAATATTTTTTTAGTCACCTATTGTGGAATATTTAGCCACTAATTTTTTTTAGTCGCTAATAAATAATATACCATGACTAAAATAGTTTAGTAGGTAAATCCTAAACCAATGCCAACCAATATCAGTTTTATTTGCCAAAAACTGCACTTTTGGTGACTAAATTTCTTTCAGTCGCCAAATTTGGTCGGCAAAAGGATAAATTAGGAACAAGATTGGTAGTCGAAAAATAAGTGGCCCGAATGGCTCAACTGCCCAAAACGACGTCTTTTTGGGCAGTTTTTTTTTTCTCGTTTATATCTGAAACAAAGAGAGGGCAAGAGAGAGAGAGAGAGAGGAAGAGAGAAGACAGATGGAAAGAGAGAGAGAGGCAACAACCCTTGGACAACTTTGAGCTTCTGCCCTTCTCCTTGCTTGACCCAGAAGGCAAGACATTCCCTTTATGCCCTTAGTGCTACAACAGTCCTCCATTTGAAGGTATAGACACAATCTTCGGTGCTTCCAAAGCCGGGGCTTCTATTTTTTTTCTTTTTTTTCTTTTCTAGATCTGAAGGTGAAGGAAAAAATAAAAATAAAATTGTTGGCTAATGATGATGTGTTGATGATGATGATGTTGATGAAGATGTTGTTGATGATGATGTGTTGATGAAGATGTTGTTCTTGATATTTTTTTTTTCCTTAGTAGATCCAGATCTGAAGGTGAAGGGAAAAAAAAATTATTGGCTGATGATGATGTGCTGCTGATGATGATGTTGATGAAGATGTTGATGATGATGATGTGTCTTTGTGTTCACTAGGTTCTTCTTCTCTCTTCTTCTTCTTCTTCTTCGTCAATCTTCAGATCTTCAGAAAAATGAGAAAGAAGAAGAAAAATAAATAAATAAATCAAAAAAATCAAAACGATGTCGTTTTGATTTTCGGGCCAGTCGAGCCAAATAAATTATTGTTATGGCTGCTGCAGTTTTGTTGCTGCTGGTTTGTTCAATTCCATGTTGGGTTTGTTCCAAAACTCATGGGTGGTTTTGTTTAAACCATGGGCTGGGTTTGGTGAAAACCATGGGTTGATTTGCCCCAAACCATGGGTTTGTTTGAAAGCATTGGCTGGTTTTCTTGTCCTAATAGTGTTGATTGGACATAACTTTATTTAAAATTTATTTGTTCAATGTGTTGTACTGTTTTAGCATAGCTATGGACTTATTTAAATCTATTTAGTAGATTATGTTGTGAGTTAGTAGCTAGAAGTGTTTCCTTTTTTGAAGGGTGTGTTGCCTTTTAGGCATGTAATGAACTTCATTGTAACATCTAATTTTTCGGTATCAAATATATGACTTACCTACGATTTTTTTTTTTTTTTTTTGCTCCATAGCATGTAATGAAAAACATGGAAGGGTAAAAAAAGTCATGAAATAGCATACGAAAAAAAAAAAAAAAAAAAAAAACCCCATGTCACATAAGTAGGGAATGAACTTTCTCATTGCTGAAAAGTATCTATGAAGATTTTAACAATCTGGCTATTTTTCTTGGTTCTTGACATATTAGGCTGGTTCAAAGCAAGCTGCAAAGCAAACAAAATAAACCACCATACACAAAGAAGTGCTTGACGCCGATGAGCACGTCTTGCCTCAACCAACATGTAAAAAAATAATGAGGTGATATGATTCAAAATCTATTAAAAATTAAAAAGTGACTTTTTACCCAACTTGTCAAAACAAGTCGAAGTTGGGCCATGAACGCTTAGAAAGCAAGGTTTAAAGAAGGGTGATTAACCCCTCTACCTTTAAGAGCCTTAAACCACAAGCTTCATCCCATAAAAACAAGTTTTAGAGAGCTTACACAAAAATAAATAATGCATATAATTAACACTCATCCTTGTAGCATATTCAAAGTGTTTTTTTTTTTTTTTTTGAAATAAAATGATGCAAGGTGGACGGAATAGGGGAAACTATGGAAATGGAAATTTTTTCCTCTTTTTTTTTTTAAATAAATATTTAAGCAAATTAATTGGGGTAATTCACTAGTCTCTCCCATACGTAAGAAAAACGAAATATTCAGTGCCTTTAATAGCTTCTATTATAGAGTCTACACCCAATACGGAATACTCACATTGCAATGTAAAGCTTGTAATTACATAAATGTTCCCTAGCCCATCTGAACCATGGACAAACAAATGAATAATTTTTTGAACAAATTCACTCAACCAAACTTGAAGGATGAATTCAACCAAACAATAGAATTTATAACTAGAGGTGAGTATGGTTCGGATTGGTTCAGATTGGGATAAAATCAGGATCAATCCGTTGTCTACAGTTCCTGAAAAATTGGAACCAATCCAATTTGTTTAAATCGTGGAACCAATCTATTTAAACACGAATTGGATCGGTTTAGGACTATAGATTCACATAATTAAATAACAATATATATATATATATAGAACATTTTAATTTCATAAAAACATAAACATAGTATCATATTAGTTCCACAATAGCAACATGTCTTTTCATAATAGCGACATATTGTTCTAAAATTTAAACAATCATAAGAAAATTAATTCCACATAAGTATTTAGACCATTGCAAATTAAAACTAAAAACCAACAAATAAAAGTAATAAAAGAAGATACTATGCGGGTTTAAGTTTGGGTTTAAGTTTTATATGGAATAAGAGAAGACACTATACGAGAGGGTGTATAACATAAATATAAACTATTTGTATACTGTCTGTATCGGTTCGAATCTAGAACCATGGGGTTCAATCCAGAACCAATCCGTGGACTATGGATTTTTAATTTTTTAATCCAAAATCGAGCTATAGATTCAAAAAATCAATCCAAACCTACCGAATTGGATTGAATCGGATCGAATTATGAATTTTACGGATTTTTTACTCAGCTCTATTTGTAACATCATATTTAATTAGGAAAGCCCAACAAGAAACCCGCAACCCAAAAAAGGTGTACAGAAAATCTTCATGTTTTCAGTAGTAGTTTCCTAATTCATAATTCCGGTAGTGTCTGCTTCAATCCCATTTCAGAAACGGCGGTGTTACATGCATTAATTAATGTACTAATTAGTGTACCAACACTAGTTATGACATTATTATTATCCCTACTTATTAATCACATTAAAAATATCAAAAATCTCTTAAATTATACCACATCATTAATTGGTATACTAATTAGTACACTACTTGATGCATATAGTATTATTTTTTCAAAAACCCCAATGCTCATTTCCTAGGAAAGAAAAAAAAAAAATCCGCAAATAAATCACTTCCAAAATACCTTCCTAAAAGGCATTCCTTGATAAATTTACCAATTTTGATAACTCTACTAATAGAAACAACCAACTAAAATGGATGTGAATAAAATGAATTTCTCACAATACTTAACATCAACGGATCGTTCTCACCTAAAAGCACGGATATGGATATAGATGTGGACACGAACATGGATATAGATGTGAACACGGACATGGATACAGACACAGAATGAGATGATTTCAAAAAAAATGAGGGCAGGGACATGGTAATAAAATATGTTCTTATATATTTTTATTTACTATCTAGATTAGTATTACATCTACAAACAATTAATATTAACAAAACTAACTCCAATTCTATTTTTTAAAATAAAAAAATACTTTTAAATTAACACTTACAGTTTATATATATATTTTTTATGGATAATCTATTAAGTATTTAAATTTAAGAAAAAAATATAAAAAATTCAACATTCATCAAAAGTTCTAAATAAAATGAGGAAAAGACAACTTGGCATGTCCATAGTGTGTCCCCGAAGTGTCCTCGGCATGTCTCCTGAAAATAAATTAATTAAGGGAACATGCCATATAATGGGGGTGTTTGGCAATCAAAGGTTTAGGCTATTATAGTCTCTTTTGGAAAATTAGCCCAAAAGCCCCTACTGTAGCACCTTTTTTTTTTTTTTTTTTTTTTTTTTTTTTTTTTTTTTTTTTTTTTTTTTTAAAAAAAAAAAAAAAAAAAAAAAAAAAAAAAAAAAAAAAAAAAAAAAAAAAAAAAAAAAAAAAAAAAAAAAACAACACCGAGGAAGAAGATGAACTGCACACCAACTTATTTTATTCATGTCGGGGCTCACCCCGATCACCATTTTACACCAAAAAAAAAAAAAAAAAAACAAAAAACACAGTTTCCAATACAACTACTCAACTAAAAATTCATCTCATCTTCCCAAACACAAAACTAAAATAATCTACTAAAATAGCCAAATAGCCTATTAAAATAGCCACTTCCCAAACGAGGCCAATATGTCTCATACGTGTCTCCGAAGTCTTTATATCCAACACAGATACAACACTTAATTTGAAATGTCGATATTTCATAGGTTCTCACTTTCTTTGCTCTATTATGACACGCTACAACAATGGAATGGAGTATGAAAACTTGATTTATCTGCTAAATTTACCATAATGATAATGAAGTTTGAAGGATTGGACAACAACCAACACCCTCGCATTAAACTATATGTAGACAACCCCCACCAGTGCTCTACAAATTACACTTTTGCATTAAATGCAATCATATTCTATTAAAAGTATATCAAATAGACTGTAGGTTGACATTAGAAGAAAAAACAAATTCAAATAGAATACAATTTGGCAATTTCCATAAGCAAAACACTTGGGTCATGTTTGGTTTGTATTTGTGAAATAATTTTGAAAAAGAATTTATAAAATTTAAAAATTTGTTTGGTTGTATGTTTTGAAAATAGTTAGTTTGGGATGATTTAATTATTTTTTTAGTAGTTGAATAGATGGATGAGAGAATAAAAATGATTGATTAATATGTAGGATGTGAGCTAAGGAGAAAAGAAAGAAAAAAATGATCAATTGATTGATGTTTAGTAAAGAGAAATAATTTTAAAATTTTTCCTGAAAAATTCTCTCTCAAGAGACAAACCAAAGAAGGCCTTACTTTTCTTGAGACTTAGAAACACGTCTTCTCCTTTGGAAACCTGCAACTTTGCTGCTCATCAGCCCAATTAAATACCAATGTTCAAATTTGCACCGCCTCTTGGTCACTACAAATCTACATCGAACCCACACAGTAGCAGAGATTACAAATACCAATTGCACAAAATCCACCATTACGATTTGAAATAAATAAATAAATAATTCAACATGCATTCAATTTTGAGTTTGTCCCAACCCAAACAATTACGTAAGTTTAACATTTTTACCCTCTTTATTACAATAAATCTACACCAAACCAATATAGTAGCAAAGATTGCAAATACAAATTGCCACAAAACCCAACTAAACATAAGCATCCAATTATGAGTCATTTTGTCGTTTGTCTTTTCCAAGTTCCATTTGAGTTCATAGATAATAGATTTTAGTCTATACCCTGATATCCTTTTATATCTTTGTCAGTATATAATAATTTATCAACACAAAATTGTTGGTTATACCTCCTTATTGGAGTATGGGACTTGTGGGGGCATATTTTGTGAGTAACAGTACGTGACTAAGGTGACACCGAAGTGTCAGTCGAGGTGCCACATGGCTTGGTTAGATTGCTAAGATGATTTCGGCTAGGCCGAGATTATCTGCGGAGATACCGGGATCGAAGATAAGGGATAAAAGTCCCAGAATAAGAGAG